CTGGAAGAATATCAGCCCTCGGTCTTATTTGTACGGACCGAGCTTCGCTCGGTCCGTACAAATGTCAAGACCTCTGGCCGATATTCTCCCAGTACGGCCCTCGCGCTTGGTTAATAAGATGTATAGAGAACACATGTAACTCGTATGCTTTTAAATTCTCATGTCTATGAAGAGAAACCCTTAAAAAATGAGAAAAATTTAATTCAGTAACTACACGCTACTGTCACTAAAGTTGATTTCTTGTGAAGATCAAAAGCCATTTATTTGTCTTGTTTCTGTATTTTATTCTTAACTATTGAATTTACTTTTTCAGATACACTATTTATTTTTATAAGAACGTCTAATTTAGGGGCTGAGGATAAACTCTTTATTTTTTGCAATTTGAGCCTGAAAACGTTTTTAACATTTTCTTTGAGTTGCATTAATTTATGGTTATAGTTATATCATAACAGACTAAGCTCGATTACAAACTGAGTTGTTCTTCAGTGTATCGTGCAATACAATAAAACCGCAATATTCATGTTATCAAATGTCCCTAACTATTTGAGTTGGTTGTCCTGTAGAACCACAGTTTTACATTACTTTTTACCTTTATTTATACTGCTCACAAAAAAAAAAAATCACTAAAGTAAAGATGTTCTTGACTGACTCTGCCTGGGTGTGTTCTTTAGTATATGTGCCAGTTAAGTTTTTAAAACTTTGGTTAATCTCAGCCTGAACGTTCCTGGAAAAAAACCTTGTTATTAAACAAAAAGAGTATGAATTGAAGCTGGAATAAAAAAAGACTTCAACAGGATTTGCACTTGCAATAGCGGCCTGGTATCAAGCCCCTTCTATAACATAACAAAAGTAAAGCGCGCGCTCTGATTGGTCAATTTAGCGTCCCCCATTTGCCCATGGGTGTACGCTGCTGACGTGAGCAAATGCAAAGACTATTTTTCCGCGCGCGCTTGTTTTTTTCTGGTCACGTAAGATTTGTTAAATAAAAGGAACTCTTTAGCCACAATGTGTTAATGTTATGTTATAAACAAATGGTAAACACCACAGCGTACACTATTGAGTTATGGATTCACTTGGGCTATCGCCTCGAGCAACTCTTACGCTTCTTTCGTGCTTAGCAACCTCCCGCGTGCATCCATAACTCAATAGTGTAAGCTGTGGTGTTTACCCTTTGTGAAATATTGGGAGCAGATCTACTCCTCTAATCTTGAAAAATAAATTTTGCACAACTCGCTTCGTGTACCATCTGAAATCTCATTTCATATGCACATTAAAACAAAATTATGAACATGATGGAAAGTTTAAAGGTTTGCTGTCGGCTGTCAGCTCTCCGTGTAGTGTAGACGTCGAAATCAGAACCAAACGTAATTGTTACCCTTATCATCTTCCATGCACCATGCACGGAGAGCCCTCTAATTTTTAACTGGTAGATACGCGAAACAAAGAAACGAGTTATGGTAGGGACTCAGATTTGCATATCCCTCAATAAAACGTCAACAAAAGTATATCATCTTAACGACTCCGAATTACTTTCAACAATCAATTTTCAATTGCTTGATTCCCTTCCTTGTAGCAATAGGTAATTAAAGGAAGCAGTGATGTGGATAAGAGAGAAGAATAAACGGGGCCTGTATTAATCACGTTGTCAACAAAGAACGGTGCATGTTCCCGACACTGTACACTGAAACCTTTACCCTCACCCCCTCCTATGAAAACTTTCAGAAGTTCTGGTTTGGAAAAGCCGCTAAAACCCTGAAGCACTAATTTTTTTTCGTAAACAGAAAGACTTCGTTCATTTCACTAACTTGAATTATTTCTTAAACAACCATTAGTTTTCCACATGTACTGAGCTGCGCACTAATCTCGTACCCAGATCCCACTCTAGAACTGAAACTGATGTAGGATCCTTTTTACAACTTTTTTTAAAGTTGTCATGATTCAGTGATTGCATTCTCAGGAAAATAGCGCCTGTAGTTTTCCTTGCTTTTTTATTGTTGTTCTTTTTTGTTTCTCTTTTTGTTGTCTTGAGAGATACGAAGCACGGTCAGTAACTATTGTACATTTTCAGTGACAGTTATTTCCTTTGATTTTTGGTTTCAAAAACCAGAAATCAATTCGAATTCAGATGCATCATGGGAACTATACACCAGAGTAAGCTTCCTCTTTAGAACTTTCTTTATCGCTGTTTTTATTCCGAAAACATCAAATGTGCATGCCACATGAATTTTTTTTCTCGTGATTTGGGTGAAGATCAGCCCCTGTGAAAAGGTGTTGTAGACTCATCTCAGATTTTATTTTGGATTTTAACCACATGGGATGGAGAATACAAGGATTCCAGGATTGACGCCAGAGGAGCCTGGAGAGTTAGAGATGCTTCTTGACTGACAGTTTTGTTTGACCAGATGCTGAGCTGAGCACTTGATCGTCGTCGCTCCTCTGGGTTAAGTCGTAACACAGCGTGCTTCCTGTTAGCGTAAACTGGTCCAGATTTCAGCGCTGAGCAGACACTGGCACGAGCTTGACATGCTACTTGATATGCTGGTTTTATTTGATAAGCCGCTGAGCACTCGATCGTCGTCGCTCCTCTGTGGGTTAAGTCATAACACAGCGTGCTTCCTGTTCAGCATAAACTGGTCCTGATTTCCCCGCTGAGCAGACACTGACACGAGCTTGACATGCTACTTCAGAGACGCTGGTTTTATTTGACCAGCCGCTGAGCACTTGATCGTCGTCGTTCCTCTCGGTAGAGTTCACGAACCTGACTCGCTTCAGACTGGATGCCAACTATTTCATCTGCAAAAATGAACAATTTATAGATAAATTAAGTTAATTTTTTTGTTACAATAAGAGAAGTCCTTGTTGTTTAGCTAAGTACAAGGAATGAACGAAGTAAAAAAAAATGAGCGTCTAGTAAGAAATATCAGAGCTGCGCGAAAACCGGTGACGAGGACAATGGAGGAGGCACCAAATGGAGTCTGTAATTTTATGGTCTTAATCCCTAAACGTCTTTAACTTCAAGAGTGATTGCCATCTAGTTTCTCCACAGGCGGCCCAAGCTCTCTTTAAGAACCACACAAGGAACACAATTTGCATATCGATTTATAAGGATTTGGACGAGATTTTCTACAAGATATCCATGGATAGTTAAAAGTGAAAATTTTAAATAAAAATGGCTTACCTTATTTCATACGTGTGTTGTTTGCTCCTGGTGTCGTTATTGCACCGATTAAATGGGTAAAATAACGACACCAGGAGCAAACAGCACACATATGGAATAAGGTAAGCCATTTTTATTAAATATTTTCACCGTTTAACTATCTCCATGGATATCTTGTAGAAAATCCCATACAAATCCTTATAAATCGATATGCAAATTGTGTTCCTGGTGTGGTTCTTAAAGAGAGCTTGGGCCGTCTGTGATTTCTCCAAGCAGTACTACCCCTGAAACAAACTAAAAGGCCCTGAGAATAAAAAACTTAAGCAGAGACGATAGGGACCTTAAACACGAAGACGCGCTATAAAAGGAGCCTTATGTCCCACTGGACCATTTGTCAATCCACCGTCGTGTGATATAGAACTCTTAGAGTCAAGTTAGCTTGAGCAGCCACTCCAAAGCAGTGAACAGCGGGCGCATTCCTCAAAATTGTTTTATGTCTTCATCACAATACAAGAATTTTTGAGATTTGTATTTCCTTTCTCCAATGGAAACTGTCTTTGTTTGTGGCTGTAAATTTGAGATCGAAGTAGGTGGTTCGCACGTTACCTCATGCCATCATGCTGGTGGAAGTAAACAATAGATATCTCTTAGCTCCTTTTGTTCGTCTACCAGCATTTGAATTTGACCCGCACACGTCAACGGTGAGTGACAAATGAGCCTAGGTCTTCCCAGGGAATACTTCCTCATATAGCGCGCCTTCGTGTTTAAGAAACCACGACGGCGAGGGCAACGAGGACGTGGAAAAACAAGAGATCTAATTGGCAGAACAATAGCTCAGCACGTGCATTTTAAAACTTTGTACATTTCTTAGCCGTCCTATGCAAAACAATAACGTGAAATCGCCAAAATTTGCGTCGTCTGCGAACCGAAACCGCGACGACAAATTTTCCTTGAAAGTACCTAAGGAAATGTATGGCGAACAGTATGGAGAATATGCATATTGATGTTGGGATGTAAAGAGTAAAAAGACGTACGGAAATCGGAAAAGATTTATCATAAATTTTTTCCGATTTCTGTATGTCTTTTTACTTGGAGACTGAAACTAGTTCTTCTTAGCTGGTTCTCTGTATTTAGGTGTATGTACTTCTTTTTTTGTCCTCGTGGTGTCTTTCTTTTACTCTTTATCATAACTGAGAAACATCCTTTTGATTTAAGTGCATACCTACCATACTGTACTCCTAGGCTAGGCTAGGGAGCCTGGGCTAGGGAGCCTGGGCTAGGGAGCCTGGGCTAGGGAGCCTGGGTCTCGTGTCATAATGGTCACCACAGTTTCAAAACGAGGGTACTCTCGAAAAAGTGACCTTTTTTATAAATATAATATGTAAAAAAGTTGTTTAAATTTCAGTACAAAACTGGAACTCTGAAACTATAGCCCTCTGTCATCTCCAATAGCCTCCAATAGCGAGTCGGATGCTCAACCTTTCAAACGGTAGTACGTTTTCATTTTACTAGCAAATGAAATTCATTTTTATACGAATGGTTGACCACCAGGCCTCGTTTTGAAAAGAGGCCAAAGGTAATTTGGAAATGGCCTGTTGGTGTGACACTGCCATATCATTCTCCCGTTGGAGCCAAGTGCGTACAAGTCGTTGTTTTGTTCCCATTCCTCCCTCCCGTTACTTACCTAGAGTGGTACCAGGCCTGGTTACCAGTAGTGTACAGGTGGCATAATACACAAACAACGTCAGTAGGTACCAGAATGCATCGCGGTATTTCCTCCTTGTTAAAGGATATAGCCAAGGATTAACTACTGTGTGAAGGGAAGCCAGACGTACTGCAAGGAAGTCGATCAGTTCCTCAAATGGCCAGCCATTTTGGATAAGCGTCACCCGCAACTGGAAAATATAAAATCAATACTGATGCAGATAATTGTTTAACTGGAAGTAAATATTTCAATGAAACAAGAAATAATCCTATAATAAATATCTTAAAAAATTACAACAACTAAAACAAAAAACAAAAGAAAGACAAAGAAAGGTGTGATCTGCGCACAGTCGAGGGTAAGCCGTGTCGGTAATGCTGTCGTGTCACGGTCGGGCCATAGTCGTACTTGTCGTACTTCAGTCGTCCTACAGTCATAATGTAATCGTGACAAGGTCGTGTTGTATTCGCATTTCATTTCGTATCAGAGTCATTTCAATGCAAAGTCATATTTCGCTGTCATAAAATAAGTTTTTGTGGTCTGCAGTTAAATCAAACTATTGTCGCGTGTGGTCGTCGTGTTGACGCGTCATTGGATGGTCCATCGCTTGTCGACTCGTTTTCTAGTCGTGTCATAATTGTGCTGTTCCGTCGCAATATGTGTCGTCGTCAAGCCGAAGGGTGATCAAGTTGTAGCGTTGAAATCAGTGGTACAAAATTCGAACTAAGTCGTCAAGAAGTTGCATACACGGAGAGGAATCTCTTACCCGGACTTCCAAGAAGGTGGCTTTACTTACCAGAAACAAACTCCAGCAACTAATAAATGTAAAGGTAACAGCACCACTTAGTTTAGCGAACTGAATTTCCATTTTTCCAGGGTTGCAGTGATGTTCTAAAGGCCTAGAGTTCGCCGCCTCTTCATCAGAACGAGGCTTACTTATGCTATCCTGTTTACGAAGCGAGAGTCTTAAAGCCATTAGAACTGTAATTAAATTACATGAAATGACCAACAACATAGCAAAGGCTAACGATGAAATGAAAATATAAACCAGCGCTCGGCCATCAAATGAATCCGAGTCCCATTCGAATAAACAGAACGTCCCAGGAAAATGAAGAACATTTCTGCTGACTCCAAAGGCTGGGAGTAAACTCAAAGTAAGAACTGAGCAACCGATGCCGATAGATGCCACTTTAACTTTCTCCTTGTCGTAAATCATATGCCTGTCGTAATAAAATGGTTCACTTAATGCTAGGAGGCGATCGATGCTCATTAGAACAACAAGAATAATAGAAGACATGAAGAGAAACGTGATAGCTGTTGCTTGAAAATCGCAACCCATGTAGTTTCCAATGTAAACCCCGAAAAAATATTTTATCAACGATTGCGGATACGCTAAAGGAAACACTAACAGGTCTGTCCAGGCTAAGAATAATATTAGTACATTAGGAATGTTTCTTTTGTGCCGAAGAATTCTGTATGTGACAATCAAAACAAGCAGATTACCAAAAAAGCCAATCAGTCCTGTAAACAGAAGTGTTACCCCGCCGATAAAAAATTGTTCATCGCTGAAATCTTCCAATCCAAATCCGTGACTATTCATGGCAAGTTTGCGAGGAACTTTCCATTAAACGTTCAGTCCTATGAGCGAACTAATTCCCTGCTTAGAGCGTTGAAAACGATGTTAGGCTCCCACACCTTGTCGACGGATATTTGTAACTTCTTCTCCGGTGGCCCTGACAACCGCGTGTGAATGGAATCCGAAACTATTAAATTAAAAATTGTTCTTCCAAAGATGTTGAATGGAAATTAATTGATGATGGCATAGTGAGGCATCGTAATAAAAACCCAATGCAGTTCCAGAGAAGTCGGCTAGAAAAATCTCTTGTAAAATACTGTTTTGGGATAGTTTTCTTCACTATGGGCGTAAATTTGTTTCAGCTTTCACAGAGCTCGGACAGAAAAATTATCACCAACCAAGCAGTAATTCCTCTGCATTGTAAAGTCGTCTTGTTCAAAGGGTGTTGTTTTTGTATTTCATTTTCGTTATCCCTGATGTTAAAAGCAGAGATGACTCTATTTCGCGCGGCGTGTAAATATAAACGCCAGGTCATTATCAGGCTTCTTGTTAGCCAATCAGCTGTCGGCTTTTGAAACAACAGACGCGAGGGGGATATTGTGAGTCACCTGCAGCAACAGGTGGCTGTCCTGCTAGTGTTTTGTCGATAGCTTATGTTAGGCCGTGTGTTATAAAGTATCCGAAGTATCATTCTTCTAGTTTGGATGTTACATATCGAGCATTAGGCGACACACTCAAGCATAGTGTTTTACAAGCATGATAATCTCCTTTGAAGACTACAAGGACTTGAATGGATTATGTAAAGATAGAGAACAAACAATTAATTCCTCAAAACTTAGAAAAGTTTAGACAATTTCAAAAATTATGACAATTTGTCATTATTTTGTTGTGCCCTTCGGAAACAATACGATGGCCCACAGGGGCAGTAAAAAAATATTTATCACAGTACAAAAATATATATTCCAGTACAAAAATATTAATTTCAGTACAAAAATATTTATCCCGGTACAGAAATATATATCCCAGGACAGAAATATTTATCTCAGTACAGAAATATTTATCCCAGCACAAAAATAGTTATCCCAGTACAAAAATATTTTTTCAGTACAAAAGTATTTTTCCAGTCTCTTTACTTGTCATTATCTCGACAGTAATTGTGACTTCTTTTTCTGGCTCTAGTTTGCTTTTCTTTTTCTTGTTTGTTGATTTTGCTCGAAAAAACGAAGTTCTCACGGACCCCTTTTTAGCTTTGTACGACTTAAAGCTTGGCAAAGAAAATTTCCTCGTCTTCGGCGAATCCGGCGGTTCAGCCGGATGTTGCTTGTAGACGTTGCGGGTGATGCTACAAGGAAAACCTCTGTGCCACATTTCGGGCAATACCTGTAAGCTGGATCCGCGATTATGAAACTACAGCAATGGCAAATACAAACCGCCAAAGGTGCCGCCATATTTACATGTGCTCCAAGGAAGCTCGCAATGACCTCTGGGAGATTAGTTCCCATTCCCCACTTGTACTGGAAAAATATTTTAGTACTGGGATAAATAGTTTTGTACTGGGATCAATATTTTTGTACTGGGAAAAATATTTTTGTACTGCTCCTGTGGGCCACCGTGGAAACAAGGCTCAAGAAATTATTCTTCTTAACTTTCCTGGTGGTTAAAATTTGTTATCATACAAACTTTTTTGGCATTATACGTTATTTCCACCTGAAATTTCCCCTCAAAAAGCTTCCACTGGAAATATATATGGAAAAAATACGATATATTTTAATTTGGCAAGTCCCTTTTGTCTAAATATATACAGGCCAGTTCTCCAATTAATAAGGAACTCGTCACAGACAAATGTTACTACTGTAGTGTAGATTAATCCACAAGAGAACTTCCAAGAAAAGTTTTATCCTGGTCAACAAGCTTTCCTCAAGAAGTGTCGCGGACAAATTGTCTCTTTTGCTGTAGCTAATTTAAGGAAGTTTTACTCCAACAGGTACTTTCCGTATCGTTACCAAGTTTTCCTTTCTCAGTTAGAGCAATCTCCAATTGAACGCCCGGATAATTCGCGATTGCTTTGATTTTACTTTGTTTCGCTTTGTGATTGGTCCAGAAAACTCGTGCCACTCTCTCAACAATCATAATGTAAAACTAAAAACGAAATTGACTTTGTCGTTGGCGTTTTCCCGCTCTTCAAGCGGTTTGCTTGTTTTCACTTTCAGTCCTTATTGGCTAGTGATGACGTTAATCTTTGTTATGATTGTTCGATGTGATAACTTTGGTTTTGGTCCTCCGGCACTCAATTGAAAACTGCTCTGGACAGCGCAAAGTTTTTCTGAACTGGCGTGGAGCGCATTAATGTCTAAATTTGCTAACGTTTGTGGAACTAACCCTCTGTTTATTATCTGTTAAAAGCTGCTCTCTAAAACTGAACCTCTCTTTGGAGTTTGGCGGTTGCTTAAAAACTGGGTCGCACTTGGGCAAAGTTTTTAACTTTGCCGGCAAAAAAAAAACACAGAAAATTTGAAACCGCAACCGGAAAGCAAACTTTTGGTTTCAACTATCAGGGTCGCGCCAGGCGAAAAAATATGTCAGTGATGACACTTTGATAAAGCAGACACACGTTTATCCACGTGTTATGGGGAGAGAGCAGTGAGCTGAAAAAGGAAACCAAACGTTAAAAAGATGCGTCCCGTTCAAGCATTGTTGATAACGTTCACAGTGATGCTTATTCTTCTTATTCAGCTAAATCACAAGCACTTTTTTGTCTTATGATGTATGAAAGATGGGTTAACGCCTGTTTAACTGTTTTGACTGAAGCTATGATGGGCATGGGTCGCACTTGGCAAAGTTTGGTGGGAATGTGGTCAGATCACTTTGATGTAAAAATCTGTCCTCGGGGCACATTGCCTAATGCGACCCTAACTTTTCCGGTTCGCAAAAACTTTGAAAACCGGCCAAAACATCAAAAATGCCGTAGTGCTTGGTTGGGGCAGGCAGATTTCGGAAAACTCGGGCTAAACAATAGCTATCACAGCGGTAACTGTCATCGCTTGTCAGTAAACAGCAAACAGATAATATGCAATAAAATTAACAGCGCGCGAGATCTGCTTCAGTTCGCGCTCTTTCTTTACCATGGACGGACGTGGATTTTATCATTACAATTCATCAAAGTTCCCGGTTTATTTCGGTGGCAACGCAGAATATTCACAATATGTGTACCCTCAAGGCCAAAGTTGTGGTGCTGAAGAGGCAACAATTGGAAATATTGAGAGCCCTTCGCAGAATTCCGCTTCATCATCGTCTCCGGAGCTCGTCGAACTAGCGGACCAATTTCATAGCGGCAGTCAAAACAGTTAAACAGGTGTTAACCCATCTTTCATACATCATACGAAAGACAAAAAGGTGCTCGTGATTGAACTGAATAAGAAGAATAAGCATCACCGTGATCGTTATTAACAATGCTTCAACGGGACGCATTTTTTAAAGACCTTTTAACGTTTGTTTTCCTTTTTCAGCTCACTGCTCTCTCCCCACGACACGTGGATAAACGTGTCTGGTTTATCAAAGTGTCATCACTGACATATTTTTTCACCTAGTGCGACCCAGGTAGTTGAAACCAAAAGTTTGCTTTCCTGTTGCGGTTTCAAATTTTCTGTGTTTTTTTGCCGGCAAAGTTGAAAACTTTGCCCAAGTGCGACCCATCCTAATCCTGTAGATCCCCCAAGTTAACCCCTTTACATCTTAACGTCAGTATGCTCGCTCTCCGTACTGTTCTCTACCTAATTCCTAAGGCGCTGACAATGAAGAATCTTTTTAACAATCAAGAGTTTTTTTATTTGGTGATCATTTCATTTAATCTTGTGACTTTGATGTTTGATTCAGGGGTGACATTGTAAGAAAATATTAGATACAAGCCACATTATAGGGGTTAAAGATCAACAAAAAGGGTACGGAAGTTGTACGGGAGAATAACTAATTCTATCCAATCAGATCTTGACAGTGCACCAAACTGTTGCCGGTGAAAAGAAACCTTTTGACGCATTCACAAACGCACTCAGATTAGCGTGAAAGTTGGCCATTTAATTAAAAATATTCCTATTTCAAGTTTAACCCAACATTTCACAAGTGATTAAACATGATAATTCCAAATTTTTTCTACTCACAAATGAAAGACCTATAAAAATGGGCGAAGGGATATCTATAACCATTAATGACTATAGTTACAATTCTTCTATAACTTTAAAAGGTATAAACTTATAGTATCCAACTAGAGACGCCAATAGGTCTAATTAATTAATTTCATCAACGGTTATAAAAAATCAGTATTTTTCAGTGTTTTCAGTGGTTTAAACCTAGTACCATCAGCAACAGCATTAGTCTTAATACGAGAAGAGCTCGTCATACCTAGCTAACTCCAAAAACACAGTAAAATAGAATTCTGCACTAAGTACAAAATTAAACCACGAAGTATGCTATCTCCATCACTTTCAATTCATAAAATTACAGCTACAATTACATCATTTTTTTTAAGGCACTATTTATCTTATCCTGTCAAGACGCTTTGACGAGAAACACTTACTGGAAGACTACAGTCATCTTTTTCTCTACCATCGAATAAAAACATAATTTACTCCGTTATCACCGCAAAAAAAAATCTACCTACCTTAAAAAAAAAAAAAACCGCAACAATGTTGAAAAGTTTGAAAGCCAACAAATGTACGCTAAACAACATATCTAAACTATGTTTCAGGGTAAAAAATGAAATGATACCATTTGAAAAAAAGATTACATATCAACTGAAAGCTTATCTATCTAATGTTTCTAAACACACGTGATAAAATGCTGAATCAACGAATCTGCAATCTAGTTAAAAAATACATAACATGGTGATACATTTGTTTAAAGAACAAATGTGACACATACAAGGCGAGGGCGTGTGTCAATGATGTTCTCATGACAAAAAGTGCGAATGAGGATGACTAATCTCTGAACCCAGGACCCATCTAAATACTCAACAGTTACACTTGTCAAATTTTACAGTTAGAGCGAAAAGGTTAAATCAGTTCTTTTTCCACAAATACTTGATAACAATCACAAAATTCTTCCTTATTTTCACAAGAGTATTACAAGAGTTCTGTTAATTGATAACAATAAAGGCCAACCCTCAATTTCCTCTCTACTTTCACAAGGGTTCAATAAATACACTTTATTAGACATTTAGGTGTCTAGAATCGCTGAGTATTCTCACGAGTTGTGCCGTATTTTGACGAGTCCGCAGAGCGGGTCAAAATAGAAAGAACGAGTAAAAATACTCAGTGATACTACACACACAAACGTGTAATAAGTTATTTATTACCCAACTGCTTTATTTCACGCACATTTCCTAAAAAATGGGAAAAGCGAAGCAGGGAGAGAAGCG